TGGTGCTGAGGATCGAACCCGGGCCGCACGCATGCCAGAGGAGCGCGCTACCGATTAAGCCACATCCCCAGCACTGTTTAGACCTTTTTTAGGGCCTTGTTAAGTTGTTAAGGCTGGCCTCAAATTGTGATCCTCTTGCCTCAGCCTCCCAAATCACTGAGATTATAGGTGTGCACCATCATGTCAAGCTAAGCAAGTGTTTAATAAGCTCCCACTTTCACTTGTTATTGATAAATTGGTACAATTTTCTTTTCCAAAAGAAATGCCAGCATCATAAAATGCTCAGATCTTCTAATCCCATTTCTGAGAAGACATCCAAAGGAAATAGTCCATGGTAAATATGGTAGGCAGGATTTGACAATGGCCCCCAAGACTCAAGCCTCCAGGAGCACACACCTTTCCCTTGAGTGAGGTAAGAACCTGTAAATACTATGGAATTTTAATGCCATGATTAGGTCACTAACTATGAGTTAATCAAAAAGGAGATTATCTCTTGGTCATTATAACGACCAGATTAGGGAAGCCCTTCAGAAGATAGTAAAGTCTTAGAGATGTTTTGCTCACTCTGAAGGAGCTGCCACACTGTGGAGAGGGCCATGTGGCAAAAGCTGAGAATAACCTCTAGGACCTGAGTCAAAAATTGAACTAATACATGAAACTCGAAATAGCTAAACAATGGAACCAACTAGATATTCTTCAACAGATGAATGGATAAAGAAAAAATATGGTATATATACACAATGGAATATTACTCAGCCTTAAAGAATGAAATTATGGCATTTGCTGGTGAATGGATGAAACTGGAGACTATTGTGATAAGTGAAATAAGCCAATCTCAGGAAACCAAAGGCCTGATATTCTCTTTTGATATGCAGATGCTAATTCAAAATAAGGGGTGGAGGGCTAGGGAAGAATAGTTACTCTGGATTAGGTAGAGGGGAGTGAAGGGGCATAAGGGTAGGAAGGATAGTAGAATGAATTGGACATTATTGCCTATGCAATAATATGGCAACATGACTGGTGTGACTCTACATCATGTACAACCAGAAGAATGAGAAGTTATACTCCATTTATGTCTGATGTGCCAAAATACATTCCATTGTCATGTAGAACTAATTAGAACAATAACAACAAGAAAAAAGAACATCATAGCTGGGCATGGTGGCACATGCTTATAATCCTTGTAGTCAAATGGCCGAGGCAGGAGGATTACAAATTCAAAGCCAGCCTCAACAATTAGCAAGGCCTAACAACTTAGTGAAAGCCTTTCTCAAAAAAAAAAAAAAAAAAGTGCTTAAGTGGTAACGGTGGGGAGGGGGAGGAATATATGTGTGTGTGTATGTGTATGTGTATGTGTGTGTGTGTGTGTGTGTGTGTGTGAATTCTTTGCAAAATGATTCTTTAATATAAATGGGTTGATAAATATAAAATAAACCTTCTTTATAGGGCTGAAGACATTCCCTAATAATTCTAGATAAAAGTTATAGCAGCACATTTAAAAAAAAATTTTATTTTTTAGTTGAACACAATATCATCTTTATTTTATTTATTTTTATGTGGTGCTAAGGATCAAATCCAGGGCCTCACACGTGCTAGGCAAATGCTCTACCACAACCCCAGCCCATATAGCAGCACATTTACTAGAGCAGGATGAAAACATATATCAGTATCATCAATTTGTAAATTATGAGAAATGACATTGAGTAGACTAATTTTTCATTTGTCTTACTAGACAGTAATAGTTAAGGTATTGACTGTCTTTTTCATGTTTCCTAGAGCACATTACAGACACTTACAGATAGAATGACTAAACAAAAGAAAAACCAATTTTAGAATTAAAAAAACTCACCAAGTGATTCAAAGATGCAAGTTCCTGACCTATGAAGAAAAAACACATATATGCAAATCAGTTTTAGGAATTGCTATTACATGTTAAGGAACCCCAAGCAAAACTTTCCATAGTTCATACATGAAAGAGATCATCAAGCTAAATACTTCCTCATAAAAGACCAATTTTTTCTGACATTTTACACCATAAATACATACTAATACTATTCTAAAACTGATCACAGCTTGCTCCAATAAAAAATCACCAAGTATTGGGTATTAAAATAGCATCTCATAAAAGGCTTTTTAATTTACTAAACTTGCAGAATCTCAAATGTTTGAACTATAAGCAAACAAACAAAACTATAGTTATAGTTAATTTGATATCTTTTTGAATGGCTCACAGGAGAGAAATGCTTGTTTCACAGTGAAGGGGGGGGGGGACGATGACCAGGACTACAAATGACTAGAGGCAAGTGAAAGATAAAATGTGAAAATATCTATGGATGACAACTGGACATACCTTTTAATGTTTTGAGCTGGGAAAGGAACTTACCTACAAAAAAACTGATATAATCTTTTTTTAGTTTGTCCAAGCCAATTTCCAAAAGCATTTGAAGTGGAATAGTCCCACTGAGAGAAACTGTGTCCATGGTTCCATGATAAGACTGATGAATGAGCTTACTTAGTAGACTGTTACTCCCACTATGGAGCTAGAAATCAAGAAATTTTTATAAAACCATCCAATATGCAAAAGAGAAGTAAACTGCATAAGTTAAAAATTATAAGCTTTCATTCTTCATCTCCTGACACTACAAATTGTTTGAATATGTCAGTTTCTAAACTGTCACTACAAATTGTTTGAATATGTCAGTTTCTAAACTGTCTTTTCTACCTTAATTGTTGAAAAGTTCAAAGCAACTCAGAAGAGTTTAAACTTACCACCCCTAAGTGATAAGCTTAAGCTGTGGGAAAACTCTATTCCTCAATAGCGTGTGCATATATCATAAGGAATTCCTTTATGGCTATGATATCCAATATAACTTGATAATTGCCAATTAAAAAGAACTGTAAAATTAAAGATTTAATGTGTTCCAAGTGCTATATAATTCATTTTAAACATATATAAAATATTTGTCATTTTCCCACTAGTTTCTATTTATCTCTATTTTAACTTTTATCACAATCTTTTTGCATTTTCTTTTTTTAAAGTAGTTTCACATTTTGCACTTACTGTATACAAAAGAATTTTACTTGTAAACATCTTAAAAACACAGAAATTCTTTTTTTTTTCTTTTTAGAGAGAGAGAGAATTTTTAAATATTTATTATTTAGTTTTCTGCAGACACAACATCTTTGTATGTGGTGCTTAGGATCGAACCCGGGCCGCACGCATGCCAGGCGAGCGTGCTACCGCTTGAGCCACATC